TCTTAGGGCCGTAGTGCGGTAGTGACACTTTTCCGGACATGGGTCCCTATACTCAAATGTTTTCTACTGTTGCACTGAATAACCCCTAGAAGTTTGATCCCATAGTTCTGAAACACCCTGTATACGTTTCTTTTTAGTTTTCCTTTTTGTTTCCTTCATTTTCTTCATTTCCTGTTCACTTTTCCTTTATTTTTATTAACTTGTCTTTATCATCGGAGAGAACACTTTAAACATCCGTTTAAAGTGTTTTTTGTTCGCGTATACTTTGGTTTGTGTATACGTGTTTATAATTCCAATTTTAATTTTGGATCGCGATCTTGTTGTTAGATTAGAATTTTTTGAGTATAAATATATAAAATGTAAATTTATAAAAAATATGCTTTGTAGTAATATTTTTAATACCAAAAATATGCTTTGTAGTAATATTTTTAATACTACATCGTTTTTGATTAGAAATATCTGAAATTGTGTTTTATACGAAGTTAATAATTTTTTATTAGATGATATTATATATTTATGTCGCGTTAAATAGGTTTAATAGTTAAAATTACTTCTTATTACATTTTAATTTTGGTCTTAATTCAGTCGAAAGTCTATATTCTATTCCATAATCTTTCTATACTTTGCGATATCTTGCTTCTCCGGAATATATTATATACGAGAGACCTCATGATATAAAGAAGATAGCTTTAGAATATCTTTCCGTCCCAATTTTGAACTTTTATACGCTTTTCAAATATCACCTTTTTCAGCTTTGATGTGCAGAAGTTAAATTGCGATAACGTGTACAATTACATGAGATCCTAAAAAAAAACTCTCAAAAAGAGAATTATTATTTAAAAAAAAAAAAAAGAGTCTTGATTACACGAATGGAAAAAAAAAAATTTATGCTTTTGCAGCGGTAATTTTTACCGATATATCTTTAACCGATAGATAAATATCTAAAACTTTAAATAATAGTAGAAAAGTTATTATTATAAAAGAATTTCTCTCATTACATGTAGTGTTCATAAGAACTGTATGTGTTTGTTTGATGTTTGATTTGTAAGAGTCCAAAATAGTAACGTTTTGTCTCGGAGCATCAACACACACAACCGCAGCAATTCATTAAATTTAAGACTATATTAATGAAATGTTTACCAAATGCAATAATGTATTTAACTGACCAATAACAATGCCAAATTGCAAAAATTGCATCAGTTTTTTGAGTATTTTTATTTTTGTCGAACGCATTTCTTACCTCTTGTTACAGCAGTGAAAGATAGTGTACGAAATTAGGTTTTTTTTTTTTTTAAGAGACGTATAATTGTTTTTTGTTATATTAGTTAAAAAGTTTTAAGACGCGCGTCTCAAGAAGTGCGAGGCCGGGTTAATGATAAGCGCAAAGGTGAAAATGTACCTCTACCTATGCCTTAACACACAAAAGCAGCTGTCGACTTGCAGACCCAATCATCGACGCAGACCGGTTCCGAATCGGAGGGCGAGAGCGGATGCATTTGCTAGGGAGATTCATCGTCAATAACCAAAGAGAGTGCAGGAAAAGCGGAAAAATCGCAGTCAATCTCCCGATACGAATCATCATACTATTGCGAGACGCTGCTGGCTTCTTCTGACGTCGTTAAGGGAACAGGGGCTCTTTGTCGCCGACCTCGGGCCCTAAGTATCGTTTCAAGTGCTACTAGACGAACTCGAGCGATATTTAATACCTCTTGCTATATATATTTGCATTGTTTTCGAGCCGGCTTTGTGCGAAGAAAAGAGGATCGCACCCTTAATCAGGGTATTTTCACGTTTAAGCTTGAAACGATGATAGCTGCGGATTCCACGTAAAGTCCTCTGCTCTTTTAGTTAAAACACATACGCACACATGTACACACATACATTCTTTTGTGTTTTATATCTTACATATTTGATAACAAACCTTCGTTGAATTAAAATCACAAGTAATGAATTTTGTATTAATCGAAAAAAATCTCACAATTATTACAAGTATAATTGGAATTTTATATTAATTNATAATTTTGTAAGTATATGTTATACTCGTTCGTAGTATTACTCCAAAGTTATACATTTGTGATAATTTATATTTATGTTTGTTCATTTAATTATTTTGTTACAAATTTCGTTAAAAATCACCGATAATTATGGACACTAAAAAGTTGAGGAGATCAAATAAGTAAAATAGCAAGCAATATCTTTCGGCTTCTGGCGAATCTTACATATCACCATTGTTCGGAAAAAAAAAACCGTTTTTTAATCTTCGAAATTGACCCCTTTTATCTGCAACGTAAACTCTAACTATCGTTAGAGAAGATTCGGAAATAGTTTTTTAATTACGAGTTTTAAATAAAATTGAATTTAACAAAATTAGTTCAAATTGATTATATTAATCCAAAAATTAAATTTTCTTCTTACGCAAAGAGCGATTATGATTAAAATTTGCAATATTGTCAAGTATAAGATTAAATGATTGCTGTGGAGAAAAAGGGTTAATTTGTCATCTGGCCTGCGATTAGTGGAGATCATCGTGCTACATCCTTCCAAGTTTAAGCACACACATATTGTCTCTTTGTTCAGAGATTCTGTATGTAAACAAAAAAAACGCACACCGAAGCTTGCGGAAGGATAGTTTGTTTGTGTATTTAAAAAAAAAAAACAAGAGAAGAGGTAAAAAAACACAGAGACAGCATTACACGACTGAAAGTAATCATTCCTTGGTGGAGTTAATTAAGTCGCTAAATAAGCTAATTACGATGAGTTCGCGGAGTTTCTTAAAGACAGCACGTTTATCAGTAAGGTGTTGTTCATTCGAGGATATTTATAATGTGTACCACATATTACGAATCTTTATAGACGTTTTTCGATATCTCTTGATAATAAGTGAAACTCTACTTGATAACGAGATTTAAGTCTGTAGGCTGAACGAAGAATACGCAAGTGTGCACAAACGACCAAACTCATTCGTAAAAAATCCCTTGTTGATTGCAAGTCACTGCCTTTTAAATCTCTTTTTTTTTTATTAAATGTATTAAACTATATATTAATAGAAACGTTACGAAATTAAATAGTATATGTATACTATTTATTTTAAAAAAAAAAAGTATTGATTTACATCTATCTATTGTGTATAAAAATTTAGATTTACAAATTAGTTAAAAATTGTATAATTAAATTCGTTCCTCTGTTTATACAAATTGGTATTTATATTCTTACGTAAAATTCATATATAAATATGAATAATACATATAGATGTGTAAATTTTGTATATCTTAAAGTAGTTGTTTCATTCTAATGATTTTTGTGTGAGTAAAGTGTGAGAACATTTTTTAAACTCACGTCGTATATATATATTCCTGTTTGGCCGTTTGTACAAAAAAAAATGAAACGCCTACGCTAAGCCAAACGCAAACACACCTGTCGAATTTCTCTCTAGGAAAAACGATTTAATCGAGACTCTTGTCGGGGAAAATAAATCAATTATTAACCATGCTTGACGCGAGAAATTTCTACAAGCCCTGTAGGTAACGTTTCTATCCCTTTGCATTCAAAAGTCAACGAGAACAAAAATTATTGCGAAATTATTTTTTACCGACAAATGTGCGTATATGGAGTCCATATTGTTAACGTTGTTTTCATATTGCAAAAGTATCTATAATTCTTAACGCGATATTTTGAGTTTAATATAAAAACACATACTTTGACACAACGTTTGTACGTAGTCGTACAAAAAAAAAAAAAAAGAACTAAAATAATTGTTTTACTTACATGTGCATTATTAGCTTAATTATTTGTACACATATTTAAAACATTTTTAAGAAACTTTGATGTGCACCGTGAAATGTTTTTTGCGACTTGAGACGGACGCGAGTGCGAAAGGATAGATACCGAACTGTCTCTCTAGCCAGTCCTTATATAACGTGTTGTGTAGCGTTAAAAATTCGACAATGTCGCACAGCAATATTGATATAGTATATATATAGATAAATATATATATATATATATAATAATAAATGTATATATGTATGTATATATATACTGCGAGATAGATTTTTCTCGAGCACACTATACCGATGCAACGCGTTCGAGGGCGGATCTAATAAGGTTTCGTAATTTAAACTAGAGAAAAGATGTAAGAAAAAAAAATAATTCTCGATTACTTTTCACGCGAAGCTTTGTCTCGTCGTAATCGTCACTCGTGTGTATGTTCAATTTGTATGTTACTGTGATTATGAGTTTTTAGCACAAATATAATAATAGTGACCCAACGTTCACGTGAAATTAATCTCAATCATCTCTCTACCAAAAGTAAATAATAATTACAACGTATCCAATTTTTTTTTAGACCGATTGATCCGAATTTAATTTGCTCGTCTAAAATAAATTTGCACAATATTTTATTTGGATTTATCAAAATCGTTTCTACATCACAAGAAAAATATTATTGTTATATATATTTAAATATACAGTTAGTTGATTTAATTTTCAATGGATTATTAATGCTCAACATTTTGTTTGGCGCGCGTGTAGCGCCAAAAATATATTTCCAAAACAATTAAAGAGAATTTAAGTTTTATTTAGCGCGTAAAATTGATTTAAATATCGCATAGTTTTATAGGATTAATTTAAAATGCCACATGAGAATTTTGAAGGGTGGAACTCCCTCTTGTAGAGATCCGCCCTTAAATGTTATACTCCTCTTTATTTATTTTGCAGACGAAGACATTTGCCCGCAATAAATCAAGACTGCAACAAAAAGAAACAAAGAGAGAGAGAGAGAGAAGGAATATGTGTGTGTGTGATAATAAAAATATTAATATATTATAAATATCTCTTTAATATTTTACACATTTTTTCATAAATGACGATTGAAATTCGTAAATTTATAAACAGTTTTTATTACAAAAAAAGTAGACTGCAGTTTAGTCCTTAGAGCGAAAAAAAAAAAAACAGCAACGTGTATTCATTTCGCAATATAGATATTCGAAGAATCGAAGGATACAAAAAAAAAAAAAAAAAAAAAACAAAACAAATTGCGGGCAATGTCCTTCTGATAATGTAAACTGATAAGTAAACCGAAGTATACCGATCTAGTCGAAATGATCGTCGTGTAGCGAATCAGGTAGATCATTTTTTGTTGATCGTGATATAATTAAATATCTTACTAGGACCGCGTGATTGCTGATGGTTTTTGGATGTGTATTTTGTTTTCTTTTTTTTTGATACATTTTTATTTGCTATTAATTTAATTTCTCTGGCATGAGAAAACTAATATAAAATTAAGAAAAGGTGTTTTTGTGTAAGATTGAAAATATATACACGCATATTTACAATATAGTTATTTAATATTGATATAAATTTTTGAGAACTCAATATATATTATTTGATATTTTTAACGAGTTGCCGAAAGGGGATGATTCAATAGCGGCATTTAATTCTGAGCAAGGCTGAGATTAAGACGGAATGAGAGAGTAAGAGAGTAAGAGAGAGAGAGAGAGAGAGAGAGATAAATCGAAAACGAACGTTCCGGCTAGACCGGAGCCTCAAGTGCATTTATACAACTTATTAATATATATATACAAAAGTATATATAAATATATATATAAATATGTCGAACACTTTGTTATAGGAGTTGGTTATGTCGTCGGGTCGTGGGAGAATGAATGATGATTTTGCTATTGTTTCTTGTTTGCTATATAGCGTAAAGCAAGGTCCTAGTCGAGTAGTAATGGCGGATTATTGTTTCAGCTTCGTGCTACGTAGTTGTAGCCACGCACAGATTGTACCGTATTACATGGTAAACGAGATTAGGGAACAGGCAAGTCTTGTGCGGACAAAGTCGCTTTTGTCCACGCGACAAACCGCGATCAGAGAGACAAATCTTTGCTTAATTGCTGCCACGTGAAAGAGAAATATAATTTGAGATTTTCTTTTTTGCGTTTTAGATTTTGCGTTATTAGAATGAAAACGAAAAAAAAAAAACGATAGATAGATAACTTAGCGAGGAAGACTCGACTGATTTTATATGTGTTTGTACGCTTAAAGATTGATTTTTTAATTCGAACTTTGTGAACCGTAAGATAAAATTCTTGACGAAAAGAGCAAATAAAAATACTTTTTTTTTGAACTGCTGAAGCGAAAACTGAAAGCGTTTCTCTGATCGCAGGGTTTGTTTGTCGAAGGCAAAGGAACCAACCCCATCTTTTTTGTACCTTGTGTCTTAGATGAAAAACCTCGTGTTAGTTCGAATCGAGGTTCGTTGAACGACGTTTTTTGCAAAAACTTGTCATAAAATGTGTGTCGCGACTACAGTATTTAAACCGTAGAGCTTCAAACAAACAAGCGAATAAAGTTTTATGTTCACCAAATACAAACCACAAAAAAAAAAAACTTTCTTCCGCTTTCTTTGGAGATTCCCGAAAATTTCTGAAAATCCTAAATTTTCTATTTTTTGTTTTTTCCAAAAATTTTGTTTCATACGAACTTTTTTTTTGGGATAGATTGAATATTGAACTGAATTGTAGTTTATTATGGTTTATTGTAATGTCAATTATATACAAATTTAAAATTACGTTCAGTGTGTTGTCCGACTACACTGACATATCGTTTTCATCTCGTCGACAATATTATTACAACCAGAGCTAACTCCCGAAACTGTTCGGTGCCTTTCGCTCATCATAACAGCATCAGCGACAATACCTTAATTAATTATTTACAGTCGAAATATAACACTCGATAGTCCCTTCAATAGTCCGGTGTTGACGTATAGATTTCCAAAAAAAAAAAAAAAAAAAAAAAAACAATTCTCCGTTAATATTTTATCAAAGTAGGACAACTCTAAATTTTCTCTATTCGTGATATAATACAGTAAAAGAATATAAACTCTTTTTTATATATAATAAAATAATAAAATTACTTCAAAGGGAATATAGAGCTTTTATACAATAAAGCTTTTACTATTGGTAATAGATGTATGTATATATATATATATATATGTATATTATTGGTGAATGTCATAGAAATGGCCTGCAATCAATTTTAATTTTTATGCGAATGCCTGCCTCGCATAAGTCCTTTAGATAAATCAATTCACAGTTGGCCTACTTTTGTAAAATATCGAACGAACGACGTGATTTTTTTCGCGTTATATTGCGGCAGACTTTTTATCTACAAATTCTGACCTTTCGCGATTTTCCGATCAACGATTCGCAAATTTTTCCCTCGTTAATTTGCGATCGTTTGGCAGTATGCTGTTAAATATCGTTATACGATTATACATTCGACATTTTTTTTATATCCATATTAGTATAAAAAAATTGTTCGATTGATACGCGATCGTCTCTTAGCTTCCCTTTCGCTCTCAGAACGTTGTTGCTCTGCAAAAAAAAAAAAAAAAAAAAAAAAAAAATTTTGTTATCAATTCTGTTTTATATTTGCAAAACAATTATCGAGAAAGACGGGAATATTGTTCTGCGTAATAATGTAACGAAGTTATCGAAATTGTGTTCTCCGCGCTTTGTCACGATACAATTTTGCTGTTAAAGGCAAATTGATTTAATGCGAAAATTCGGTTACGCAGTCACTGAGAAGGAAAGGGTTAATTGAAATTGTAATTGAGCATTTAAACGATCGACGTCATGGAAATGAATATAGTCGTAGAGGCGACTGGAATCATTATCATGATCATCATCACTCGGAAGAACGAGGACAAATATCGGAACGATTCAATATTCGAATCTTCAGTCTATATTACATGGAAGGAGAGGAAGTACAATCGATAAAACGCTTAAAAAAAAACATTGTTTTTTTTTTAAACAAACAATTAAAATATTTAGTAAAATGTTAAATTAAATTTATTTAAAACTTATCAAACATTGAATAAAAACAAAATATAAATAACAACGATACAACAAGAAAACAAGTAATAAAAAAACTGAAAACGAGTAACAAAAATAAAAAAAAAAAAAGTTAACTGAAAGTAAATTGTGCAAATTGTGGAGTAGTAAAAATCAATGTTGTCCAGAGATGTATGTGTGTAAAATAATGCAAATTCGGCTATTTATCAAAGACTAAATATGATTTTCGGCAGTTGGTCGCAAATTCGAAAGGTAGAAAACGATAACAGTATGGTGTTGCCACTAACACACAGGGGCGTAGCGAACAGGGAAGCAACGGTTTTCTGAAAACGGATCAAATCCAAAGATTTGTTTCTCCTTAATAAATTGTTGTGTAAAAACGTGTGCTAGCAATTCAGCTGTCAATTCAATTCGGGATTAATTCTCAAGCTACGCCCCTGCACTAACACGTAGTTTTCGAGTAATATTAGATGTCCTTTTTTTTGCTCATTGTTCTTTATCACTTCCTGTCGATGTGACAACGTCGTCGTCGTCGTCGAAAACTTCGAAGAGTTGTCTCTCATTCGTTCACCGTCGAGTGTCAACGTGCACAAGGCACACAATTCCTTATTTTCGCTCGAATTTCGAAAATCCTATTCTTTCTTTGCGCCGTTCGTGTGTTAAGTTAATTCTATAAAACGTTGGGAGAAATTTTCTGACGCTCGACGATAATTTTCAGGAATCTAATTCTGTTTAAAAGATTTGTTTTTTTGTTAATTTCCACTAGAGTCTGTATTTCACTTTTGTTCGTGATTCAAAGATGAAGACGAATGAGTCGTCGCAACAATGAAAAATTTTTAATCGTCGAAATGATTTCCCGACACTCAGCGCGAGCCTAAATTTATTTTCACGACCAAGTTCACTTGGAATGCGAACAGTCGTGTGTGAACCTTCTATACAACAAAGAGTGTAAACGCTCTTGCATAATCGAAGGGTAATTGTGAGCTTTCTTTCTTTGTGGTGTTGGCGATGACATCCATGATCCGGTTCGGATGATAATATAACGGAGAAGTTGATTTCTGTTTTGACGTTGGCTTCTTCTCACGGGTTTTAGAATCCTAACTCGATCGTGGCCATCTTCTAATTCGATGGCCACGCGCTCTCCTAAAGTCAGACCCTCAGCTCTTCCATGACCTGAGGATGATTGTGTCCCTTCTTCAGAGTTCCCGTGCCGCTCATAGCCAGGCTTTCCTGCTGGAGCTGATTGGGACTTATGATGAGATTCTGACCAGGTTTGCTGGGTTTTGTGTTTTTCGGCGGGGGTGGCGGCATAGGCACGTGACAGGTATTGTTCTGGAGATCGGCGAATTCCGGGGGCGGTATGTGCTGAATGTGATGCCGTTCGGCGGTCTTGGTCTCCAACTCGCCGCAAATATTATTCGGCATCTGACCGTTCTCCTGACGCTTCTTCGAACATCCCTGATGCTGATGGTTGCTCTTGTCGCGCTGATAATACACTCCGGCGAAAATGAGCACGTTCAAGATCAGCAGACTGCAACCGATTGCGATTGTCACGCTCAAAGCGGTTGAATAAGCCGCGAAGCCGTCCTCGGGTTGCGCCGTGCTGTCCTCGAAGGCCAATTCGCTTGGAATCGCTGTCGATACGTTGGGCGAAATTTTTTCTACAGAAGTTACCTCCACGGTAGTAGTTCTCGCTGTTGTCGGTAACCTCTGAATAATTCTAGGCGGTACCTAGAACGACAACAAACTTTCTCTTAATTCAGGTAGTCCAATTCAAAGATCGCTGCGCGATTAAATTGTTCTTTTGAATGCAACAACTTTTGAGTAATTATTTTTGTTTTTTTATAATAAGATTTTCCGCAATACCTGTTCGGCATCGAGAAGATGATGCGATCTAGGAACATCGTCGGAACCGGGTTTGTGCAGGTCGGGTACTAAATTCAGCCAAAAGGAAAGACGATGAGCTCTGTAGTGATTTTTCAACTTCGATTTCAGTTCTACAAAATTGCAAACACAACTCGTAAGTTAGCTCTTCCTTCGTAAACCCGATTGTAAATCGCAGAGATCTACTTGGAGATCTAACAACAACACGCGATGTCTTACCTATGCTAAGATATTTTTTATGAACAGCCTCGTAGGCGGACCAATCGATATTCTTCAACTTGGTTCTTTCCGGTCTGGAGTTGAGAGATCCCGAATCGGAAGTACCCTCGTTCGGATTACTGACGACGGTTAAACGATCGTTAATAGCACATCTCTCGGCTCGAGTTTTTTTATTTTACGAACGTGCGAGACGCTTCTTTCACGACTTACCCGGTACGTGCGAAGTTTGTCAGATAAAGTATCACGCTCTCGGAGAGCGCCATCTCAGCTTTGGTGTAGTTCTTTGTCCAGTGCGACAAACCACCCACCAGAGGTGCCCCGAAAAAATACGGCAGTTCTTCTCCGTGAATGCAACCGGGTCTCTGAAATCATTTTTGACAAGTCGAATTATTTATCATATTTAAATAAAAGAGAAACAAATAATATTATACAAATAAAATAATAAAGCATCAAATATCAAAATAATATAATATATAATTTATATTTTAAAACGACATTTCGTTCCTACGTATAATCCCGTAACTCCAAAACGCAAATTTTAGAGGAGAGCGGTTTAAAAGTTTAAAGCTTCAGTATAGTTTCCCTAGTTAAGGAATCTTTTGGTTTTAAATTTTTAAACCTTACTTATGAATATATTTTTTTTTTAATACTTGGTGACCACAAAGAACATGACTTTCTGAGTGTCACTATGCGCGATAAACTGAAAATCTCATATGTGACACTTGTGTAATTATACGTAGGGAGTGACGATTTATATAAAAAATATAATTTCTCGGTCGAGTCGACTGTGATATTTTTTTTTTGCGCTTAAAAACATATTCATATGGAAACATAATCAGGTGGCTCATCAGGATGCAGGAGCGAAACGATCGGTAAAGACCGCGGAACTGACCGCGGAATTCAAAAGAGTATTTCTGGAAATAGGAGAGAGGACTCTTTTTCACGCGCTCGGTCGTGCTAAAGCGCTCGTGGAATCTGCTGGGGTAGCACTGCCGTTTTTTTTTTTTTTTTTTCTCACTGAAAATATAAAATCTCTCTCGGCCGATTTTCCACAAACTTGCGCGCGCGTCATTTTATATCGAACTCGTATCCTAAAAATATTTGAGTTATTCGCGAAGCTTGTGCCGCGCAGAAATAACGCGGGAAACAAATCTTCTCTTCGTCCAGTAGGCGCGCATTAAATTTCCAGAAATCAATTCAATGCCGCGCGCAAAATATGATCGCATAGTAATCGCTAAAATAAATTAAATCACGTATATATATATATATATATATATATGATTACGATCGTCGAAATTATTTTGTTGTTGTTAAACACACGGTTAATAAATAATGGCGATAATCAAAACTCAAAAGTAATCAACCGGTCGCTTGATTAAATTATTATTCATTGATCGAGAAATAATAACGCTCTCTCTTTTGATTACATTCGATTTAATAAATTATCCATTACTTTATTATACGGCGGCTTATTTTATCATTCTTGATTAGCAAACAGTAATTAATTAATTAATCAGAAAAGTTATATAGAGATTTATATAGATTTCTATACAACTCTGTTACGTAACGTACAAATGCATTAAAATCCATCTCTGTGTTGAGTTGTGCGCGATCCGTACTTTTCACAGACGTGTGTATGTAACAAAAGAAAAAACAAATATATCCAGGTAGCGTTGCATTTTCGAGAGGCGAAACGTGTGTTTCGCAACCTTTAACCCAAACGTTTTTTCTGAATGCAGTCGTGCAAGACGCAATAAGTTCGTTGTAGCGTTTACGCGCGGTTCTTATTCTTCGTTGACTCCTGAAAGAAGGGAGAGGGTTGAGAGCGGAAGGAGAAGAAGCCCCTCGCGTTGAACGTTTAATGCACTTTCATTTCGCCGGTGACGGCAACGGTGATCGCTAGGTCGAGGTGCCAGACGATATTCGTATGCAAAGTGCACCGGGTGTAAGGTATAAAGGTGCCCCGGTAGAAATGACGACATGTGGGAGGGGAGAAGGCGAGAAAAGGAAAAAGCGCGCGCGATAGAGCTTCAGGTGCCGGGCGCAAACGTGGAATTTCAAATCTTCCATACCCCGAAATTCTCTCTCTCTTCCTTCGCGTCTTGAAAATTTGACTTTCCTCCACCGTGTTGTTTTTCACATTTACGGCGGGATAAATATGAGGCCGATAGTTTATTCAGAAATCTTGCGATCTCTCGAGAAAAAAAAAAAACTTTGAAAAATTGTAAGAAAAAAAGAATTATTACCACGCGCGTACGTGATGTTGTACTTTTAAAAATATTATAGCATATATTTTTTTTTTCAATATTTCAAAGTGAATTAATATTATAAATAATAATATCTATATATCTATATATTTCAAATTTTTGCGACAAATGTTAGTTTGAAACACCGTTCGAAGAAATTGATTATTTTGAAAGAAACTTGGAAACAAGATTAAAAAGCAAATTGATTTATTTGTAATATAAAAAAAAAGAAAAAGTTTCTTATATATACTTTTTGAAAATTTTTTGCGTGTTGTGCGATTTTCACACAAATATTTAGATAATGTTTTTTTTTTCTCTTACTTATATACAAGATGAAAACTCAATTTCGATAAAATCGAAGTTCGGCGGCAACACAGGTTGTTATTTCACGTGCGTAGGTACCGCGAGAGCACGTGAGGTATTCGAACAACTTAATAACACACAGTGTGTGTTTCACATACCGTTTTCTAATACAGGTCATCAAGGAACATCTCTCAGAAGATAATATCCCCCGAAATTCCGCGCGCAACGGTAATAACTGATCTCATCTCGTTGCGACGCAATTTTCGAATTTCCCTCCACACATCCGCTTCTTGTTAGACATCTCCCGTGAGAGGGAAAAGGGGACGATGTTGCTAATATATGTGGCATTAATAATCGCTACCCGAAATTCATTGAAAGTTCGAAACTAGAAGCGGGCAAAGGGAACGGAGGCGAAATGAGGGAGAGAGGGAGGGAGTTGTACGCCTCCCTCTCGTAAGTTTGGAAAATCAGATATGAGCAAGAGCAACACCGCCATGCTGTCACGTTTCCGGCGAATTGCAACTTCCGTCTTTGCGGAGATAGAACATAAAGTATGCAATAAACAAGATATACAACAACAGAGTAGTAAGTAGACGAAACTTTTTCTTTTTTTATATTACAAATAAATCAATTTGCTTTTTAATCTTGTTTCGAAGTTTCTTTCAAAATAAATCAATTTCTTCGAACGGTGTTTCGAACTGACATTATATCGCAAAAATTCCCGAGTCGAAATTTAGCGTCTACATTGAACCTCAATTCCTCTTTTTTTATGTAGGAGTAAGAGAGAAAGTAGATTCTACTTTGACGCTGCTGTACGTCCGAAATTTCCCTTTTTCAAAACTTGAGGTTCAATGTAGACGCTAAATTTCGACTCGGGTTTGCCACTTTGAAATATTAAAAAAAAAAAAAAAAAAAAAATATATATATATATATACTATAATATTTAAAAAAAAATATATATATACTATAATATTTTTGAAAGTAAAAATATCAGAGAAAAATATCGAAATATATATATATTGACCATCAGATTCAGGAGATGTGCGATCTTCCCATAATTTAACAGCTTCGCATTTGATGTAACAATACAGATAATCAATCAATTTATTTTATTTTATTCAATCATTCAATTAATCATTGTTTTGACAAATAGAATTCACCGAAGAAGATTCACGGAAGAGGATCGAAACGTTTGAACCAATCAAATTGTACACTCAACATTTATATTATTCAAGTACTTGAAGATCAGTACATAGAGCTCGTAATGCTTTTTTATTATTTTATATCGAAATATATTTGAGAAATATGATAAAATATTAGAAAAATGTCTTTACGTGCGTACACACACATGTATTTTCTTTTCTCTCTATTCCGCGCGATATCTTTTTATTTTTCCGATCTGAATTTGATATTCCGCGGCTATATTCGATGAAAAAGTAGTTTCTCAGATGATCACAAACCTGAGGATAGTCCCCGTATTTCGTTTGATAGTCGAAGACGTAGAGATAGGAGTTTCTATGGGAATGGCTGTGAAGATCCGCGGTTCTCGTCGCCGGGGCGACCGTATTTGCGTCACCCAAGGCCTCTAGAGTTTCATCTCTAAAACAAAAAAGATAGATAAACCCTTTTGTAATTTTTTATACCGTACGTGAAACATCACACACACACAAAAATTCCGGTAGAAGATATATGTAGATAATAGATAATAGAAATAACTAAAAGAAACTTTTGGAAATTGTAACATTATGCGCTTTGTTTTTATTTGGAGGTAGCGATATTTGTTGAATAATTAAAACAATCACCGATTCTATATGAGGCATAATTAATAACATTATTTAAACAATATTCTCTATCCATAATATTATTATAAAAAATGAATGCGACGAATGTAATGCAACGCGTGTAATTAAATGTCACAGCTTATCAGCGTGTTGTGTTTGCCGATCGATAAAACAAATAATTAATAGAAATAGCTAATTTAAAATGAATGAAAGATGAATAAATGTGATAATTTGAAATATTTACTCTCGGAACGAATTACCTGATATTAACGGGATGTTGAACAGGTCTCTCCCAGTCCGTGTATTCGTTTATTATGGTCGCAAGGATTTCCGGTTGGTGATACGTGTACGTGTTACGCACGAATTCACGCAGAATCTTCGTCCTACGGTCGGCCTCAATCCCGTACTGAGCATCGTCCGCGGTTAACGAAAAATACGCTTCCGTGCGAACAACACCGACTATTAGATCGTACCTGTAAATTCAGAAATTCTCTCGTTTTCTTATCTATCTACAAAAAACTTCGAGATAAATTTGACCAAACCAAAGTTCGAGATCTAAAAAGTTTAACGTGAAAAAAAAAAACTTAGACACTTGAAGTCTTTTATTAGAATTTTAGGATATTTTAAAAACGTTTAATTTTTTTCCCCAAAGTTTGCATCGTTGTGTGTATATATATATATACAATATGTATATACAGGGTGTCCGACAATTACTTTAACATCTCTCGTAGGCAGGTAGAAGGAGTGAAACTGAGTCGAAAAGTCTTGAACCATTTTTTTCTATTACATATAACAAAGGAGTAATTATTTAATAAATCAGTGAGCCGCGCAGAGCGCTCATCAGACGTGTGGTTCACTGACGTGCGTTCGGCTAAAGATTGGCGCTGATTGGCCTAATTTACTCAATAATTACTCCTTTATTATAAATAATAGAAAAAAATGGTTCAGGACTTTTCGACTCAGTTTTACTCCTTCTATCTGCCTACGAGAGATGTTAAAGTAATTGTCGGACACCCTGTATATATATATATATATATATATATACACGCGACTTTTCGATATATCTTCCGGCTAAAAAAGGAACAAAAATTTCTGATTGTGTGCTGTCGGATGCTATACTATATTTTCTTGGTGATATTCCCGCGAGGAGAGGAGAGGGGGGGGGGATATTCCCCGGTATTGTTTCCCCCGTTCTATTTATTTTCTCTTATCTCGAAACTCGATCTCGCGAGTTATAACGATCGTCGCAAAAAAAAAAAAAAAAAAAAGATAGTAGAATACCTCGACAGTTTCGCCACGACGTCCTTTCGCAGGAGGATGTTGTTGAGCGTATTGATCGTGTCGACTTGTAAGGTGTAGTCCTGATCCTCGGGATCGCCGGGATCGATTACGACGCCGTCTATGCTCGGACCGAAAGCCGGCGCGAACTGCAATCCCTTAACGGGCACCGATACCAATTCGCTCAAAGACACATCCCTCAAACATCTGAGCAACGCCTGAGGATCTCCGGCCACCTATACGAAAAAGAAGATCAAAATCAGCCAGTTTTACAGAGAACGGAACTGGGCACAGTGCGAAATAAACGTCCGAATTTCCCGTTTCGCACCTCTTTGTTTCTCCTCGCGCGTGTTATCTGCGCTTGCGGTGTTATTAGCCGGGTGAGAACCAACCCCAAACCAACAAACATTAAACGTAAACATGTAACGACACTGTACTCGACGCAATTACACTGGATAATTTTGTCGAGAGACGGCAATCAGGAACGTTTCTCTTTCTCTCTCTCTCTCTATCTCTCTCTCTCTATGCTTCGGTGGAAAACAAAACCTTCGCGCTGAGAACGACGAGATTGAGTGGGCAATTTGCGTACCATGGGTGTCGTCCATTTCGTCAGCGACCGATTCGATATTCGATTGCGGCCGCGTCTGCGTAGCGAGGCTGAATTTCCAAAGACGATTACCGTGCGCTAAAGCAATTCATTTGCACGTACGATCGAATTAAAGCGGAATCGTCGAGCGAAGCACCGCGCGGCCTTTGGTTCGAACCCATCACGGACGTAGTATCCAACCGGAAGCTGAATCTGCTGAACGATGCACGAAAATCTTGTTTATCTTGCCGACTGTCTGTCTGTGTCTGTGTGTGTGTGCATGTGTGTAATGTGTGTGTGAACGTCGGCTTATGTGAGGTAGTCTCTCTCGTTAAGGTGCCGGCTCGTTCCGACGGTACGTTCTCGCCCGAAAATGACGTCGGAAAATGTCCGACCCTTTTTCAGACACGATCGCGCGTACTCGCGCGTAAAACGCGCGTTAATTCTGAAATATCTTCCGCTATGATTCTCAGACGATTTGTCACGGGAGTTGTTGTCGCGTGCGTTAAGAGCTGTTTATTTCGCGCGTAAGTAGGAGATATGCTTTTCGAGAGAGAGAGAGAGAGAAAAAAACAAGAAGGAAACCCGAGTCGAAATTTAGCGTCTACATTGGACCTCAATTTTTGAAAAAAGGAAATTTCGGACGTATAGCAGCGTCAAAGTAGCATCTACTTTTTTTCTTACTCCTA